GTCTTAACTTTTATAAAGAATATCTCTTTGGGTTTGAGACTTTAGTCTTTGCAACTTTACAGATCTTATCTATGCACAAACAGCTTGTAACACTCCAAAGAGAAAGGAAAACTTTAAAACGCATCATATGACCCCTTTAAGACTTTCTGAGCTTGCAGCCGAACTCTGTTGAAAACCCAGCATCTATTGGTTGTCCTCACTTTGTCTTGTGTCATCCTGACAGCTGTGTGCAACAGTATCCAGCATCCTGTCACAAAGGAAATTCTCTTTGAGTTTTTGGACCGGTGCGCCCAGGCGCAGTCCCGCAAAAACCCAGCCGACTCTGAGCTCATGCCACCGCCTCCACCAAAGAGAGCGAACCTCACCATCCCGCAGTAGCGCAGTGCCGCTGGAGCAGAATGGAAGCAGTTTGTTTTGGGGGTTTTTTATTCCCAAAATGTTCAGCAGCTCTGCCGGTGCACACCGCAAGAGAAGAGACTTCTGGAGAACATTTTGCTTTTTGGCCTCACTTTGGCTTCTGTTCTTGAAGTTGTTGACCTATTTAAAGACACTGGGAGAGAGCTTGTTTGAACATTGAGTGCTGAGGCACATTCTTATTTAAAAGAATAAAAATAAAAATGAATTGCATCGTTTTCTTTTTTATGTTTTGCATTTGTTACAGTCGCTTTTCCTCTCTGCATTGTTTGTTTTTCAGTTACTTTTTTTTTTTTACTAAACAGAACAGTAAAGTGTGCTAGATTTAGACCTAACCATGAATCACTGAAACAAATCCTGTGGAGTTTCACCAGATCTGGACTGATCTTAGTACTGATCAGTAATGCATATGCGGCTCATGACGTATGATTGTGTTTGTTAAATGAGAGTGTTTTGTATGTCATTATGCTTATTTGAAAAAAGAAACAAAAATTCTCAGGTTTTGTTTCTTAAAAACAATGCCAGGTGTTTTTGAGTTTACCTGGATCTTCTGGCTCATTGTTTTGGAAATGAAAAAAATACATTAAAGCAATAAATCCATAATAAAGATTACCAGCTATGCCGATACCTTCACATACAATACATGATCATTTTAGCTGAGGAACTTTGGATTTGTCTATATTCGATTTTCGGATAGGCCTAAATTGTTGTTTTTGTCATTTATAAGGATGCATGAGCATTTTGGCAGTTGTCACTCGTAATCACAGCTGAAGTTAGTGGCGTTCTTTATTGCCCTCACATTTCTCATCTAGTGTTTACAATATTGAAACCTGGTGTGCAAATAGCAGATCCATACGTCTGAGAAGAGATGACATTATCGCTGTCTCCTGAGGAGTGAGTCACACCTGGAATTTTTTCCTCATAAGACAAATGAAGGCTAAAGTCCCTGAAATGTGACACTATGAGGCTGCGCTGAGCTCATCTGCATGCTGAAGTGATTAGACCTTGATTGCTTCCCATATTGCACTTCTTATGGCTTTATGATGCCTCAGTATGCTCATACCGTTGATTGAGAGACATACAGAGATGAGAACAGAGGACAGAAGAAGACGAGCTTCATGTAGCATTTGAATAATACAGAATGATGCAGAGCATAGACATTCATGACCCTATTAATAAATGTCTCTGGTCTTATTCATGCATGTTATTCAAAGGGGAAAGTGTTCAAATGTGTCCTTGTTATATTGTAATCCCACGATAAGTAATATTATACTACGGGGATGTTGAATGCTTGAATCTGATTGGCTGACGAACATTCTAAGGTGTGCAATTATTTTCAGGGAAATGCATGACTAAAGTAGTTCCAGGTCAGGTGCAGGTCTTGACCACATGACATGTCCATATGACTTCGCCAAATGATTTCAAAGGTCATTACAGCCTACAACAGCAAAAGAACCAAAACCCACAATGACACTGACCAAGCTAATAAATATAATGAACAATAGGATAAAAATGCCAAATTATGTCCATGTTTTTGCCACAAAACTACGTTTTATTATGTATGGAAAACACCAATTTGAAAAATTTAAAACTTCATCCCAATCTGATAGAAGATGCTACTTTCAGATTGTGTTAGTGATGATGCAAAACTTTTATTCTCATTAAAACCTGAAATGAAAACATATTCAGAAGGCATCAATGAATTCTAATTATATTTCACAAAATAACTGTGGAATACAAAAAAGCTACTAACAAAGTGGTTCAACAAGTGATTAAACAAAATTAGGATTTTAAGACCTATTTCTATTGAGGAAGAAATGCCAAAATCATGTCGGCGTGTGTGCTTATTTCGTTCAGTGTGAGTGCAAATAAATGTTCAGGATGCAGCTTTCAAAGACTTACAGCAAACTCCCACACCAGCACAACAAATATCTGCAGTCAGTGACTTCACACGGTAGCAGAACTAGAAGAAGGTGAACCTGTGCTCGCAGGCAAGCATCTCAAAGAGGAGTTTGCAGTGTGACTATCTTATTTCATTTTTTTTTTTTCTTTCAGAAGTATGAGTGGGAATAATTTAAATGTAATGCAAGTGTTGAAAAATATTAAATAATACTGGCCTACTGCCAAACTCATTTGCTCTTTAATGATATAGTATGTTAAAAGTGCATGGGCTCAGACCATATACACAGACAGTGATTGTCACATACAGGGCTCGGGTAAGACGCGGATACGTGTGAATCCAAGGTTAGGATTTTAAGTCCTCTTCCAAACAGAATCAGGGAGCTTAAAGGGATGGTTCACCCCAAAATTAAAATTCACTGGTTACTTACACACCCCAGTCTTTTTCTAAAGCCACATGACCTTTCTTTTTCTAAAACTCAGTTATCAGTCTCAGTCTATTTTTGTCATGTGAAATTAAAAAATAAACAAAAGAAGCATTTTGCATTATTACACATTTGTGGGGAAAAAAATCATTTTTTCACAGTCAAATAATTAGTCAAAGAGATTAGTGATCCAATTCTGCTTTCATATTTTATGCAGCAAAAAAAGTAGATGAGAACGGCTGGAAAGCAGCTGTCTTGAGCTCTCCAATAAAAGAAAAAACATCAGTAACGTGTCTGCACAGCTCAAGGTCAGTCGTTTCTGTCCTGACAGCTTTTATAGACAAGGACACACGCTGATGTTAGTGAAGGTTCAGCCTCTTGTTTCATGTTGTCAGTGTCGAGTCAAATCTTTGTGATGTCCTTAAAGAGTTATGAAACTGCAAATCTTTAAACACATTTGTGGCTCATATGTTCTCTGTGCTTGTGGAGTGTGTGTGCGTGTCCATACACTCTCCAAATGATCACACTTTATTTCAGTGTCACTAAACTCTCTTTAGGTATGCTATTGTTTAATGTGTCATATGTATAGCACACATTTGCATTTATTGTGTATATTTAAGGATAGGCTACTGTGAGTGTTTTCAGCCATTTTGCTAACCTCCAACAACTCCTCCAAAGACATGTTAGCCAACCCAGTGTGGAAACTCTTTACTTTATGGTTGAATATGTCAAGTAGTTTGGCTAGTTAGCGCAGTCCAGCTAGCACCTGTTGGTAGACGTCAGAATTACACCATCTGCCTGCTAAAAGCATCTTTCTCATTTAACATTTACAAAAATCTTCATATTTCTGACATGCAAGCAAAATACGCAAATGCACAACCATTCAAAGTTTGGGGTCAGTCCAAGTTTTTTTTTTTTTTTTTTTTAGAAATTAATGCTTTTATTCAGCAATGATTATTTAAATTGATCAAAGTTGACATTTGATTAAAGACATTGATATGTTTTATGTTACAAAAGATAAATGCTGACATTTTAAACTATTAATCAAAAAAAATCCCGAGAATCATGTTTTCCGTTTTCAACAATCAGAAATGTTTCTTGAGCAGCAAATCAGCATATTAGAATGATTTCTGAAGATCATGTGGATCATGTGAATGGAGTAATGATGCTTTGATCACAGCAATAAATTACATTTTACAATATATTCACATAGAAAACTCTGTTTTTACTGTATTGAGTCTTGGTAAGCAGAAGAGAATTCTTTCAACAACGTTTAAAAATCTTACGGACCCTGAACTTTTGAACAATAGTGTAAATAATGCTAATACTTCATTACATTGTAATTTGATCAGATTCTTCTAGGTTTTTGGAGGCTCATCAAAACGTAAAACGGGCTGGTTTGAGCTGTCTGATGTTTTTGCATATTTTACGTCTTTCAAATAAACAGCTGAGGACACTTCAGTATTTATGTCTCTTGGATCCGTTTTGGATAAAACTACCGATGTGACAGTGAGACAGTTTTTGTGAGTTGTGCGAGAGCCCTGGCACTGACTGGTGCAGCGTTACACGGATGTGGCGTGGGGTGAAAGGAGGGCATCTACTGCCTGAATGGATGAAAGTGCTTCTAGCAGCAGATCATTCAACACACAGCATGATCCCAGGCTACATGGAGATGATATTCTCCAGAATGAAAAACAAGCGCAGTGACTCAAGAAACAGATGCACTGTGGTCACCGTGAACTTTAATAAACCGTGTTTTCAAAACTGTGCTGAAGGACAAACACATTCTTGCTGCTGTGAAAGGTGAGAAAAAGTCCACATGGAAAAATGAGGGCAGCTGTGAAGCTTTGCACCATGAAATATTTATATACAGTCGCAGTTCACTAGTGTTATAATTTGCCTAGGTAGAAGATAAATTGATATGTGTGTAATGATGTGGGATGATGTAGTGCATTCAGTTCATTTATTTCTATAACAGATGCAGTAATGTCCAACAATGTACATCAAAGGGATGGCATCTCAAATGTTTTTTAGCACTGAATTCATTCAAGCATCTTTTTTTATACAAATGCAGACATAAACTGAGACTGTGGAGAATCATGTGTGTATAATATGGTCAGATGTCACCTGCCACCAATGCTTTACTTCAATCCCGAATGGTCTTTGACTTGTAGGAAAAATGTCTCAACACGTTTCTCCTCTAGCCCTTATATTATGTTGTGGGTCAATGTGACCAATTTTAATTTTTTTAGTTGTTGGAAATACTGGTTAACCCATGTTCTTCTTTAAATTTTCAATTTGTTTTCTCGTTTAGAGTCATGAACATGCCTACAAAGTGTCAAAATGCTGATGGGTTGTGGAATGTAAGTACGTTATGTGTGTGTG